TAAGTTGGATTAAAAGCTTGATTATAATTCTTAATTCATTGTTTAACTCCCACATCTTTTAGAGTGATGATTGGCCTGCGTGTTGAATTGGAGGATTGACTTTTATCAGTGTTATTTGTGTGTCTCATTTCATTTCTTTAATCTCCATTCATTTTAATCACTTTTATATAAAAACAAAAAAAAAAGTATTTTAATTTCAATTTGATTCGTAGTATTTAATTAATAGCTTTTCAAAATCAAAAATATCTTTTTATAGTTTAGGTTACTTGCATTCATTTACTAGGGTTTAATTTCGTTTTCGGCTCCTCAAAGTGAAACGACCCGAGTTGTGCACTATACTGCATTAATTCGGTTAATTTTGGAGTAAACCCCAAAGCGACAATTAAGGGCAGTTCAACTTCAAACTTGTTAAGAGTTTTATCATAAATCTCAACATGTTCAACTCTGGAATTCACTGACGTGTTAATCTAAGTGTTAATCTTCATAGGTGGCACGTTCCCACGTGCAGATCTGAGAATGAGGTGAAACTTTCTTAGGGTTTCTGAATGATCTCTCATGCTCATCACTGTATCTACGTACTGAAGGAAAGGGTGAAGATTATGAAAGTTGAAGTCGTCAAAGTCCAGACTGGGAAGTGACAAGCGGAGATGCCTTCACCTCTTGGACAAGAGGCATGTGGTAATGGCTTGTTTAGTTGGAAGAAAAGAGAGAATATGTTCAAACACTGGGTCAGGTAAGTCCATAATTTGAGCAGTTGCCATTGCTCCCAATCTAATATCGCTGGTCTTTAACAATAATTTTTTGTAATGATCATGGTTATCTTGAAAATTAAATTTAGGCTGAAATATATTTCGAGTCTTCTAACTTTGTATAATATTTTAATTTAGTTTATTAATTTTAAAAAGTATATTTTCAGTCCTTTAATTCTAAAACTTTTAACAAAATGATGACATTGAGATCTTGAATGTGGATAAGACATTTTCAAATAGTAATATATTAATTTTAATTTTCCAAACAACCGTAATTGTTATAAAAAGTCATTATTTAAAACTAACAATTTTTGGAATAAAGGAATAAAAATAAACTTTTTAAATTAAAGTACCAAATTGAAACCTTGTATAAAGTTAAAGAACTAAATATATACTTTAGCCTTAAATTTAATATGTGAGTATTCGAGAATGTTTTATTAGTATTTAAGATATCAATATTATCATTTTTTTTGTTAACAATTTTAGGATTAAAGAAACTAAAGCTACACTTTTTAAAGTTAAGGAACTAAATTGAAATTCTGTCTAATCATATATAATTATATATTTACAAACAAAAAGAAGTTAGTTAGGACTTGTGGGTAATTATTTTTTATTTGGAAATTAAATGTAATTCTCCTTTGTTTACTTTTTTCATTGTTGGGCTGCTCGAAATCAGACGTGGGATATTTTTTTATTTTTGTTGCGACCGATTTTTATATCAGATATGAAATCTTTCAAAATATGCATTTTGATCGGATCTGATTGCAGGAAACTATTATTAATCATTCTAATATTTATTTATTTAATTCTTTCAAATATTTTTAGAATTTGAGATATTTGAATATCTTCTATAAATAAAGGAATATTTTAATAGCTCAGCAACTTCATTAAGCTTATAAGATTTGCAAGAGTAGGGAGAAGCGTTTTCATCCGAGTTTTCCATAGGTATTTCAATTGTTGTATATCCCAATTCCCAACAAGGAGAATCAGTTAATAATAAATTTTAGGGGTAAAGTTTAATTGTTGTCAAGAGAGTGCCCAAAAGTCTTCTTGAAAAACAATATTGTCTCAGAAGTATAAAAAACACACCTAAAGATATTGCTCCATTCGTTGACAAAATTAAATTTAATATGTTAATATTTATGTATATTTTTTAATATTTAAAATTTCAACTCGATTATTTTTACTAACGAAACTGAGCTAAGATGATTAGAAAGACATGTCATATGAAATTAAAGCACCGAAGTACACTTTTGCCTAAAAAACATAGAAATTGACAAACAACATACAACTAAAAGAAAACATGTAATTGATATTAAAAATGGTAAACATTTAATTATTTAACCTTACCCTTACTCTTAATGTTGTTAACAAAAAATGCCGATGTTATTAAGACGATTGGATCTCTCTATGAATGGAAAAGGGGTGCTTCGGATCGGGGCTAAAGTAGGGAGGAAGCTCAAAAGGAAGAGTAAAGCCTACATTAAATCAGTTGATTCGTAATGGTACAAAAGAAAAATGGCCCACAGTAAGAAAACATTCCCAAATGCTGACATGTTAAATTTAAATGTCAAAATAACAATGTATATTGAAAAAATTAATTATTTGGATGTCACCAAAAAATTAATTGTTTGGAACTAAATGAATGTTTCTTAGTGTGTTAGAGGACTAAAAAGATATATATTTTTTAAATAGAGAGACCAAATAATAAAATTAGATGACCAAAGGCATGCTTCTAGGTTTTAGCTAATGTGCAACATCAAAGATTCAAGGTATGATCGGAAAAAAAACTGATATTCAAGGATTAAGTATCAAAACATATGACAAGTATATATAAATGGAACAACGAAGACCCTACTACTTGCTTCCAATTCTTAGGCAAAACCCCTCCTTATCAGAGTATTAATAATGATTTATCCTCGATCGATCACATGACTGGAAATTAACAACCGACCAATTTTTCATACGAGGAACCAAGACTTGAAATAGAAATCTACAATCCTTACATCCTGTGGCCAAGGGGTATAACGTTTTGAGCATCATTGAGGAGTTTACGCTTGCACGACAAATAACAGAGATCGCCCTCAAAGCTTTTGCATGCTCCATAATAAATCTTACAACTTCATACTGACATCCCACTCCTTGGAATTGATCAACACAGAACTTCTTTAACGTAACGAGAAATGACGAGGAAGGATTATTTGATGAGACCAAATAATGTTCAAGACTATAAATGCCATTTGTCCTCTGATTGTAATAATATAGAGCAAATGAACTCAGTTTCAATTCCTCAAGAAGTGGGCACCCGGCTAGAAGCATTACCAAACATCTGAATTCTAGGAACATAACACTTTCCAAATGCAAAACCTTAAGGGAAGGCAAATTCACAGAAGAAAGAGTATCCACTTTTACATCTTTCAACCTTAAAACCTTCAACGTACTGCAATTGAAAATGCTGGAGGCCAACCTAATACTAGAACAAGATGTAAAACAAAGCTCAAGTTCATCAACTTGGAGGTCATTAAGGCTATTAATCACTTCTTTAACCCAACTTATAATCTTATCAGGACGAAGGCCAAACTTTATTCCACTACCTTTGAGACGAAAGATCTGGATGTGGTTGAAATTGGGGAAGAATTTTAACGCACATTCCACAAACTGGAAGAAGGATTCAGAAGAACGAAAGCTTGAATCATCGAAGTGAAGAATGGGCAATCCAATCCACAGTGACATCCACCTCTTGGACAAGAGGCTTGTGGCAATGGCGTCTTTGGTTGGAAGAAAAGAGAGAATATGTCGAAGCAAATCATCCGACAAGTTGCTAAGTCTGTCACTTAGTATTATTTCGCTTCCTCTTTCATGGCGTTCCGGAACTGAGTTTGCCATAACCCTTGCTTGGCGATATAATCAAACGAAAGAGGATTGAAATTAGCTACTGAGGGGAAAAAACAGATGGAAATTTTCATACAAATATGAAATATTGTCTCTTTATTCTGTGTGATAAAACAAAAAATCACTAGAGATCGTAATAAAGGGTCAAAATCATCAGATTTGGTGCTAATTTAACGCATGATAATAAACGTGCTCACATTTCGTATCAACCATATATTTTATACTAAATATGGATGGTTCGGATAGAAATTTAAATAATATGTTGACCATCAATTTTAAAATAATTATAATTTTAGTTCAAATTCAAAATTGACAAAAAGAAGACGACACTTTTTTAGATAAGGAAAAACAGAGTAAACTTTAAAAGAATAAGCAAATTACTTACGCAAGTTCAAAGCTGAAAAATTACTTATTGACCAGAGTGTTTCAAATAACAAGTAAACACAGGGTGCCATCGTTCCAACTTTCTTTCTTTATGTTGATACTTTAAGAAATGGGTGGAGTCAACAAAAAAAATATAGCTAGCAACGCTATTGCAGAAGCAACATATATCCAAAATGCTTATATGAACTCGATTTATTATTTCGACATCATAATCATAACCAAAGAAAAGAGGTCTTTGAAATGGAAAACAATAATTGCAACGTAGGTTTCCCCTTTATACATTTCACTTTGAGTTAATAATTTTGCATACAAATATAAGTCGCTATTAATTAAATAAATAACCATATGATCATATTAATAATATATACATTTTATACTCATAAAAAAGATAAGCACTGGGTGCTGCTATTATTTGAATCATCCAGGTTGATTTTGGATAGTCTTATAGATTCAATTTAAATCATTTTATGTTTTTTAAATTTTTTATTTTTTTGATACAATCTTTTTATTTTAGTAGATATAAAATGTAAAATAAAAAACCCTATGATTGACATTTATTTGAAATTGTCATTGAAAAAAAAATGTAGATTAGAGATTTTATATTTTGACTATTTAGATCAAATCTTGAAAGGTGCAAATTTCATCATAATAATGAACAGTGTCATTATGATAAATACTGAATCAGAACACAGCGATTATGAGGGGAGAGAAAAGAGGGATGGGAATTCGATACAAATCAAAGCCTGTCTCAATAAACAAAAGAAGAAGGTCATGACTCATGAGCATGTATTATAGTGCCACAATGAAATGATTAATTATCAAAATATATGACAAAGTATTAAATAACAAAAACCCTACTACTTCCTTCTGCTTCTAATTCTTCTGCCAAGACCTCTCCTTATCAGTATTAATGATTTATCCTCAATCACATGACTGAAATTTAACAAAATGACCAATTTTCCATAATAAAAGGAACTAAAAATTGGAATATAATAGAAGTCCACCATAATCCTCAGATCCTCTAGGGCACGTGGATAACTTTTTAGCATTATTGGGGAGGGAGTTTACACTTGAACGACAAATTATGGAGACGGTCTTCAAAGCTTTCGCATTGTCCATAATAAATCTTGCAACTCGATACTGGGTTTCCGATGCTTTGAATTGATCAAAACAGAATCTTTTTAACCTAACCAGAAACGATGGCTTTGAGGAGACAAGATGTTGAAGACTCTCAATTTTAATGGCCTTTGTGGTGGCAAATATAACAAATAAACTTAGTTTCAATTCTTCAAGACGTGGGCAGCCAGTAAGAAGCATAACCAAACATCGAAATTCGGGGAATATAACCCTTTCCAAATGCAAGGCTTCAAGGGAAGGCAAATTCACAGAATAATCAGTACTTACTGTTACACCATTCAACTTCAAAACCCTCATCGCACTGCTGTTCAAAATCCCAGAGCACATATGAACACTAAACCAATAAGACGTAAAAGAAAGATCCAACTCCTCAACTTTGAGCTTATTAATCACTGTTGCAATCCAATTTATAATGTTATGATCAGGCTGCAGGCCAAAACTTCCAAATCTGAGACGAAAGATCCGGACGTGGTTGGAATTTCTGAAGAATATTAGTGCATGCTCCACAAACTCGACGAAGAATATAGAAGAACAGAAGTTTAAAGCATCGAAGTGAAGAGTGGGCGATCCAGTCCACAGTGAGGTCCATCTCTTGGACAAGAGGCTTGTGGCAATGGCTTCTTGGGTTGGAAGAAAAGAGAGAATATGTTGAAGCAAATGATCTGGTAAGTCACTAAGTCTATCACTTCGTATCATTTTGCTTCCTCTTCATTGGCGTGCCGGCACTTAATTAATTTGCCATAACCCTAGCTTGGCCACATAGATTCTTTAATCTAACAAAAAAGGAGGATGAAAACTACAGAAAAAGGAATTGAGTGTGAAGGTTTTAAGCACACCTCTTTTTTTTAAAAAAAAAGAAAAAATTAGAGGGGGTAGATACTAATAGTCTAATATTACAAATGAGATCGGATCCACGATTTCCCTTCGCTAGAGGAACTTTCATTTTAAACATACCTTTTGAATGGATCAAAATGCCTACGTAAAACCGGATCACAATCTAGACTGAAAATTACGAGGAGGCAGCTTTAAAGAAAAGAAGAAAAACTACCTCACATGAGCCATACATCTCATTTATTTAAAATATATCCCATTTACTTTATTGGTTGGGATCGGGACCTTATAAAATATTTTCCTTCTCCTGTGTTGAGCTGTGATAACAAAAAATATCGTAATCAAATGCTCAAATCAATGCGATATATTTGGAAAGGGTTCACTTAGTTCATGGGCTCCTCATTACTTGGTGATAAGACTAAATTCCAATTTCAATTTAGGTAGTCTATATAAACTTTAATTTTTTTTATTTTTCATAGTATTTTTATTTATTATAACAGATGCAGAATTTAAACTCTAGATAATTTTCTTATTGCCAGGAAGTTAAAGCAAAAAAAAAAAAACTTATTTTATTATCTAAAAAATATAAGTTAAAAATTTTAGATATATGTCATATATCGAAGTCAAATTAAAATACTGAAAGATCTGTGTGTGTGTGTCTGTGTGTAAAGTGTATTTGCATCAAATTACCTATATCAATTATGCCAAAATTTCCGATCAAACATAAACATGTGTCTTATTTTTGAAATATTGATATTTAATAGCATTTAATTATAAATTCGCTGAAACAGACCTAAGTTTTTTTTTCATATATTTAACTGTTATATATGGTTCAAGAATATTTTTGTTAGTTGAAAGAATTAAAAAAATATAATCTAAATCCCTTCTATTTAAATCCTTAGAAAGGGAACAAATATGCGAAATCTAATGGGTGATAATAACCGAAAAAGAATGTTTTCATTTAGTTTTCTCTCCACTTCCCTCCGTTTTATCTCTATTATTGGACTAATATCCAATGGTTGAGATTTAATATATTATAATAATATTGTTATAATATTAAATAATAAAAGATATATAAATAACTTTAACTTATATTTAAATAAGTAATATGATATTATTATAAATACTTCGGGGTGGGGGGAAGGAAACACAAGCCTAATTTTTCAATTTGGCCCAAAAGAAAAATCTAATATTTCAAAATTTATAGGACATAAGTAATAGAACTGCTACTACCTTTAATTTATAAAATAATTTGTTAATATGGTGATTAAAACTTTTGCATTCTTCATTGTGCTTTTTTAAAAAATAAACTTGTAAATTGTAATCCTAACCCAACGCTAAGCCAAAGTATTCTTTGAGACCCGCGTTGGCTTATAAAATGGAAAAACATAAAAATAAGGAAGTGGAGCAAAAACATTTCCCGATCTTACAAGTGACGGGAGTTTGATTACTCATGATCTCAAAGGAAAAAAATTAATAAAAGAATAATTATTATTTAATAATATCCACACAAGTGAATTTTAATAAACCCTCTACGCATATCAAGAAAAAGGATAAATACCACTCAATGTTATTATTATATGTTTATGGGTGATTACATTTAGGATTGGACAAAAAAAAAAAGAAGAAGAAGAAACCAAAAAAAAAACCATAAACAAAGATCTATGGATCTAATAGCAACAGTACAAAATCCAACATAAATTTCTGATACTGAGAGTTATTATTTCTGACGCATAAGGATATATTTTCGAACATTTGGCTTTTCAAACTAGTGATGGAAATGGTCCTCTAATCTCTTGCATTGTTGAGAATAAACATCGCAACCTTAAACTCACTTTCTTTTCCCTTGAAATCCACCAGGAATTTCTTCAATGTGCCCAGAAAAGATGGAACATTTGGTCTGAGCAAACTTCCAAGAAGTCTGTAGTTTGTGAACTCAAGATCATGCACAACAATATGTTTAAGTACCAGTTCTTCAACATTGGCACATCCAGAAAAGATCTTTACAACACATTTATAATCTTCAAACCGAACGCGTTCCAAATGCAAGACTTTAAGGGAAGGCAAATTAACCAAGAGAGGAGTATCTATACGTACCCCATGCAATTTCAAAACCCTAATGGCACTGCAGACAAATATGTTAGAAGGAACACTAATTTGAAACAAGTACGGAACACTTAGCTCTATTTGCTCGACTTTGCGATTTATAGCTGCTTTAAACCAACCATCAATCTTACGATCGTCTAGATAGTAATAATCAACACAATTGAGACGAAGTAGCTTGATGGTTGTGGAATCATTATTGGAGATGAGAACTTTGTCAACGAAACGTTCGAAGGATCCAAAACGACGATGACAAAAGGATTTGGCGTCGAGGTCAAGAGTGGGCAATCCAATCCAAAGTGAAGTCCATCTCTTAGATAAGATGCTTGTGGAAATGGCTTCTTTAGTATTAAGAAGAGAGAGTATATGTTGAAGCAGTGAGTCTGGTAAGTTGCTAATTCTATCTCCTGCTACTTGGGATTTTGATTTTGCCATAACTTAGGCTTTACTGTGGGAAGCAAGTATGAGAAATGAAGGTTTTAGTTGAAATCCAAGGTTTAGGATAGTAGTGAGTCTGGTAAATAGCTTCTTGATTAACTCTGTTTGAGCCGAGCTTTTATTGCATACCAAAATTGTAAAATACTGAATATAGGGAATCTAATCCGAATTCAGTGCTCATTGTGATATCCGAATCTAATTTCATTAGATGCTTAATGATAATTTCGTTTTCATCAAAAACATAAGAATAAAGTATTTCATGCGAAAAGATATTTAAGAATGAAGGAGTTAAATAACATTTGTATCATCAATTTTAATATAGTCGGCTATATGAAAGATGAGCAACCCATGAAACCGGATATATTTAAGGCAATCACTTTTTTTCCAAAAAAAAAAGGAATTAAAATTTGTTTCGTATAATTTGTTTTGTTTAAACTGAGTGCTTATTATTTGATATTTTCATTTTAATTGATAAATTTTATGAAATTTTATTTATAGAAATACAGTGGTGTTAAAATAACGTGAAAATGAAGGAGAGTCCACAAAATTCATGAATGTATACAAATTAAAATCAACAATTGATATACACAAGGATAAATGCCTGCAACAGATCAAACTATAATGACTTCCTTGAAACAAAATAAATTACAGGGACCTAATTAACTATTGAAATAAACTATAGGAATTTACAGATTAATTTTTCTTTAAAAATTATTAAAGATATATACTACTTTTGATCCTTGATATAAGACTTAGTTAACTAATTTAGAAAAAATTAAGAAAATTATTTTAGTTATTTGTAATAAATAGGTGTTGTCTTTTCTAGAATATCCTTAATAATCATGTGTATTAGCTAAAATTATCATATGATAGAACTGTTCATATATGCAACTACTACTTTAAAAAGATAAATAAATTTGAGAAATAAATTGTATTGCGGTCGAACCAAATTTAATATCAAACTATTTTCTATATTAAGTATTGGAAGTAATATATTTTTAGAGCTATGATTAAATTGGCCATTTAAAAATTAGAATTCAAATCTATTCAGTTTACCCAAATCTTGGAACTTTGATATTCAATGCAAATTCTATAATTAAATAATTAATTATCGCTCATTGCAGACCGTCTCTTTCGGGAAATAGTTGTTAATATCCTTCTTGATATGCGATGAATTCGTAACTAAAACAAATTTGTTATCGTTTATTTAGTTAGAAGTTTTGATTAAGAAAGATAAATTTTCGATCGACTTAATCCCCCACAAATCATTGTGGAAAATTGATTTTCGTAACTAGATAACAAATTTAGACCAAAATTAACAAAGCGAAAATAATTTATAGTTTAGAGATATAGGAAATCGTGATCAAATGTTATATCTTAAACCGGAAAAACTTGATGGTACGGGCATCTTTTAAAATCCGCCACGATATTTAGGAAAACTGACGTTTTAGTTGAACTTCGACCTACTACTATCAAATACAGGTTTTCACGAGAATCACTTTGTAAGGTGATGGACATATTTGAAGATTTGGTTACGAGTCGTACATTAGCAAGAGATTGAGCTTTGGAACAACTGCTATATATGTATGAGGAAGCTTAAAATTGGGTTTTATTAATTATAATAAGAGATTGAACAACTAATGAAATTAAACACTTGTTCTTAACTTGAGGAAGCTTTTATAAGTACTCTAAGAATCCTAGACTAACACATATCTTCATTAAGAACATCCATGAGAGGAGATAAATTAGAAGTTATGAAATACTGGGGAAAGAATAATCATAGGTCCATTTTATACCTTGAAGTTTAAGAATAAATTATTTTCATCACTTTCTAGTTTTCAAAATTCACTCTACCCATCAAAAGTTTGCTTGGGTCAACTTAATTAAATTCACTTCTCTTTAATTTGGTCTTTATTTTTACATAAATCTCCATAAGAATGATTTTTTTCTCATCACCGTGTTACTTGTCATGGCTCATGCACTTGTGGTGTGAACATGTACAGCAAAGTCTTCACTATTTTATGAACATATAAGTTTTTATACAGTTATAACATTTTGCAACAGAGAACAAGTTTGAGATTCGTGCCTCACAGGAGGTGTCTAAGTATAAGAAGAATGGTCATCCACTATTGTCAGAAAGGATATACATACATATATATGTACTTTAGCGGTTTAGCCAATATATATACATAGGGGTGGATGTAATAGGATGTTAAAGAGAAGAAAAAGAGTAATTCTTAGATCCCCTGGGGCAACTGGGTGATAATCTCTCGAGCATTTGGAGCAAGAAGCACTTAAAATTTCGAGAATCCTTAAAACTCTCGCATTTTTCAAGAGGTGGTTGGTTCCTCCAACATCCCATCCAAATGCACTTAAAATATTGAAATATAATAAACAAACCTTATGAATTACAAGAATATAATTTCGACCTTAGGGAAGCTTTGCGGATATTTCATTCTTTAATTTATTGGCAACACCAGTAAAGAAAAATAAGCATATAATTCAGGTGGTTGTCATCCTCAAGGACACTGTTTTCAACATATATTCTGCAACCCCTCAATAAATTAAGAAGTGGCATTACTTAGGATTAAACAAACTCTTTCTGTGGGATAGTAGAATAACAAAAGGTCGAACAATTCAGCAAGAGAAACAAGGTTTTAAAGAAGAAGAAAAAAGGAGAGGGCTTGAAGACTTCGGCAAGGGATTGAAGACTTGGGTAAGAGTAGACGGACACCCTATTTTATAAAATGTAGAAATATCGTACATGAAGACTCTTGGACGACAACTTAGTCAAAAGTTAGGGTAGTTATTTACCCTCTTCTTTAATCTAAAGAAGCATTATTGTAAACTCCTTTAATATAATTTGGCCATGTCAATAAACCTGGTTTATCATTATCTTCTACAAAATGCCTTATATATAAAACATAAGTTCCCAAAACTTTTTAGACTTCAAGCCATTTATATATAAATACTGAGCAAAAGTGCAAAACTAGTAGTATAGGAGTTATCGATCTGCATAAAATTAAAGTTATTTATCGTAAAATTTTGAAAAATATGAAAGTAATTTTCATGCGAGGCATGTCCGAAGGTTTATATGACTTAGCCTATATAATGAATTAATACTTGAATGTGCTCAAAATAAACCGAAAATGCATACGGATACCATCCAAAAAGGAATAGGGATGTGACTTTTACAATACCACACTAAATCTTAAGAATTCACTTGAATAAAAGCCTGCAATTCTCAGAGCTTTTTGGACAAGACGATAATCTCTGGAGCATTATTTCTTGCTCTGAAGTCGCTTTTGACGTATTATCTCTGCGAATTGAGATGGTCTCCAAGACCCTTGCGTTCCCCATAATAAATCTTGCAAGTTTGAACTCATTTTCGAGGCCTTTGAAGTTAAGGTTGAAAACAACAAACAAATTAAACCTTATCAATTGTAAGAGTTTCAAGCTTGGGGCAATTTCGCAAGCATTGCAATATTGTTTCATCCGAGCTATATGAATAATAACTTATTTCCAGGTGGATTAAATTATAAAATATTGTAGTATCAGGGAGAGGTGAAAAACCAATCTGCAAGAGGGAGAAAGCAACAAGATATAAGAGAAAAATTAATCGTCAAATCTAAGAATATTGAAAAGCACTAATATGAATTTACGTACCCTATGTATCCGCAGTGCTTTAACATTAGACAAAGATTCCAAAGTAGTAAATGAATAGAAAGAAACATCAGCTGAAATCAAATTTTTAAGTTCTTCTTTATTAATTGAAAAGCGCTCATACCGATGAGGATCAGTTGTGCCCCAAATTTTTAGTGCCAAGTCTTGAAGCAAAGGGCAGCCATAAAGAAGATCTTGGAAGGATTTGACATTTGGAAATAGAACCTTGTTCAAATGCAAAACTTTAAGGGAAGGCAAGTCAACATAAGGAGTCTTTACTGTAACCCCACTTAGTTTCAAAACAGTGATGGTATTCAGGTTGAAAATGCAAGAGGGCATCTCAAAACTGAACTTGTCAAGAGTTTCGTCATAAATCTCAACATTTTCAACTTTGGAATTTACTGCTGTCTTAATCCATGTATTAATCTTAATTTGTGGCACGCTCTTAAGTTTAGGCCTGGAAGAAGATGAATCCATTTTTTAATACGGGGCGTGCTTCTCTGTGTAGATGTGAGACTGAGATGAAGCTTTTTGACGGTTTTTGAATGGTCTCTTATTCTCATGACTGTATCTGCGTACTGAAGAAAAGAGTTGGAGTTGTCAAAGTCAAGAATGGGAAGTGACGAGAGTAGATGCCTCCACCTCTTGGACAAGAGGGAAATGGTAATGGCTTGTTTGGTTGGAAGAAAAGATAGAATATGTTCAAACACTGAGTCAGGTAATTCGCTGAGGTCATCACTTGCCATTGCTTCCAATCTACCGTGACTGATCCTGTGCTCTAAGGAAAGAAGAATGAAAATGAAGATTAGATTAGGGTAACAAAGATCATTAAAAAAAAAAAACACACACACACACACATGTATATATGGGTAAAATTTAGACCAAGTAATTTATATCCATCAAGTCAAATTTTTTTATCAGTAATCACATTGTTATTTTGCTATTGTTAATGATTAAAATGCGTATGTATACTTGTAAATTGATCAATAAACCTAACCTAATAGATATAAGCAAGTTAACTAAGATTTGTCTCCCCACAGAATTTTAAGTGCACGCTGACGAATCACAATGATCTGACCTAACTATAAATCATAAATACACAAAGCAAATACTTAGTAGTAGTCACAGCTAGCATATCTTTCGGAGAATATATCTTTGATGATTTGACCTCACAGAATAGAAAGCATAATCTGAATCACCTAAATTGATAATGCAAGTCTTACAAATAGTACAAGGAAGATATGTATGTGTGCATGTATAAATGGAAACGAAATAGAAATTTCTTAATTAAGTGACATTATACGAAGAAGTAGAAATTTAAAGCCACACAACCTTAATAACATAGATTAACAAAGCTATAACCGTTCTAAGGTAAAACAAAAGCAGAGAAAAGGATCAAATTCAAAATGGAAAAAGGAAAATTAAACTCACGCAGGTATGCATAGACAAAAATAATGCAGACGGGAATTAAGGGTTCATATCCTATATTTCCCATGGCGGTCTGCCAACTAATTGAACTCTTCTATCCTTTCAGTTCACAATGGCTTCTATGCTCATTTTGATTATTTAAAACCCTAATTCGTATTACATCTTGCGTAAGATGATTATGATGATGACTATCATAGTATATAATCTCCCAAAAAATGTTGCTGGTAAAAAAAATCTCCGATGAACTTGCAAATAAAACAAATTTAGTTATTGGGTATTTATTTCAACTGCATATCACAATAAAATAGGGAAGTCCTCAAAAGAAATATATTATCTTTTCTTAAAATTTATAATTGTAATTCATATTCTTAAATAAATTTAATATGATAAAATTAGATTTAAAATATTATAAAAAAAATATGAGGCCATAGTTGAAATCTTGACTTATGTAATCTGAATTGCATGATACTGAAATTTACATTAATAGGTTCATTCATTTTCTATATACGATATTTTAGCCACTTTCATTATAAGTTTTTTTTTTTCCTGTGATTATATTCATGGCAAGTTTCAACTAGGGAGGATAAATTTTTCGATCTGCTTAATTCACCCGAAATCATTACGGAAAATTGGTTTTTGTAATCAAATAATAAATACACATCAATTTCTAACTATCATTCATTTCCACGGCGTAAATTTTGGAGAAAGTCTAGGATGATTTGACCTGGTAGATTTGAAAGCTTTGAAAAGGAAGATGAGCAATTCAAGGAAGCAAATATAATTTATAGAGTAGTTCAGAAAATGGATTAGAGGACATGGGACACCATAATCATGATTAACTGCAATTATACTACTCCTCTGGTGCTAACAACTTTCCAGGTTTTTTTTTTTAGCCGAAACCTTGCTCTTATTTAATATATATACATTTTATAAGAAAATAACAATCTACATTTAATAATATGATTTATGAATGTAACAAACGAACCTTTTTTCTCTGCTTTAATATGAGTAGCGGAGTAAATTAGAGTAATTTAATACTAACGGTATCTTTTCAAAATCCTTCATGATATTTAGAAAACGAAGGTTTTGGTTGAGCTTCAACCTATTTCGAAAATCATCAAATGAAACGTCAGGTTATAAGTTTGAATTTTTTCTTTTTAAAAAAGCCAAAAGATGCAAAACAGTCTTTTGCTTTCGTAGGTGATGGGCAGACATAAAGACTCGTGTAATGCACAACTCAGTCAAAACTCAAGTTAGGGTAGTGGTTTAGCCTTTCTGTTTATCTAAATAAGTATTACTATATGCTAAAACAAAGAATTAATTCAATTATATTTAGTCAAAATAAACCGAACGGATATGAACATCATCCAAAAAGGAATAGAGATGTGATTTTAAGAGAAAATATACAAACACCACACTAAATCTTAGGAATTGAGTTGAATAAAAGCCTGCAATTCGCAGAGCTTATATTACAAGACGATAATCTTTTGAGCATTATTTCTTGTTCTGAATTTGCTTTCGAGTTAGTACGAATTGAGATGATCTTCAAAACCCTTGCCTCCTCCATAATAAATCTTGCAAGTTCAAACTCATTGTGGAGGCCTCTGTAGTTTCCAAGATGAAACTCCTTCAAGTTTGATGAAACACATTGAGGAACATTATTTCCCGACGGTTCCTTAGAATTAAACTGAGCCAAGGGTATATATAATATAGTTAGAAAACTAACTCTTAACTTTATCAGGAAAAAAAAAGAAAACAAAACTAACTCATAATCAAATGGCAATGCAAACACATATATTAAGTTGACAAATCCAAACCTCATCAATTTTAAGAGTTTCAAGCTTGGGGCAATTTCGCAACCATTCCAATAATGTTGTGCCTGAGACACCTGGACAACATCTTATTTCCATGTGGGTTAAGTTATAAAATGTTGGAATATCAAGGGGAGATGAAAAACCAATCTGCAAGAGCGAGAACCAACAAGGAAAAAAAATTAATTATCAAATCTAATTAAGAATGAAAAGCAATAATATTAATTTACTTATAGTCAGAAATCTCGGGTTCTAAACTAAGAACCAATGAAAGGGTTTATTTTGTTCCTAAATGTAAGATTTTAATATAGTCTACCTCCCAAATTTATAATTCTTATCCTAAACTCTCCTTATTCATTCTACATAGGGGTTTTCCATGAGGGGGTATTTTTAATGAAAATGATTAACAGGAATTAACTCAATTAATATTTTTAATATAGTCCCCACTAATTTACGTATACCAATAAAAATGACTACAATGGACAAATTTGTCATAAAATTAAAATAATTCCAATATTAATTTTAAATCCTAATTTTTTTTACTTTTAACTAACAAATGCCTTATTATATAGTAAATACTAAAGGAACAAATAGTCTAACAGCTATATTCAGGAAGAGAATATAGTATCCTACCATATCTATCCGCAGTGCTGTAACATTAGACAAAGATCGCAAAGTAAATGGATAGCGATAAACATCAGCTAACACCAAATTTGTAAGCCTTTCTTCCAAAGTGAATGGATAGCGATAAACATGAGCAGACACCAAATTTCTAAGGCTTCCTTCCTTTATGGGCACAATCGAACGCCCATCGATAAGAATTGCGCTGCAGTATTTTAGTGACAAGTCTTGAAGCAAAGGGCAGCCACAAAGCAGATTGTAAACGCCTTGGATGTTTGGAAATATAACATTGCTCAAATGCAAGACTTCAAGTGAAGGCAAATGAATAAAAGAAGGAGTCGTCACTTTAACACCATTCAGCTTTAAAATTCTGATGCTATTGCAGTTGAAAATGCAAGAGGGTATTTCAATGTTGAACTTGTTAAGAGTTTTATCATAAATCTCAACATGTTCAACTCTGGAATTCACTGACGTGTTAATCCAAGTGTTAATCTTCATACGTGGCACGTTCCCACGTGCAGATCTGAGAATGAGATAAAACTTTCTTAGGATTTCTGAATGATCTCTCATGCTCATCACTGTATCTACGTACTGAAGGAAAGAGTGAAGATTATGAAAGTTGAAGTCGTCAAAGTCCAGACTGGAAAGCGACAAGCGGAGGTGCCTCCACCTCTTGGACAAGAGGCATGTGGTAATGGCTTGATTGGTTGGAAGAAAAGAGAGAATATGTTCAAACACTGGGTCCGATAAGTCGCTAATTTGAGCACTTGCCATTGCTCCCAATCTACTTTCATGACGTTTAGACATTGGTTTTGAAATAACCTTAAGGAAAAGAGACTTCATGAGAAGGAAGATTGGATTAGGCTGATGACCAGGAACAATTACAGCAATTATATGTGTATATATACTATGTATAGAATTTCAAATAATGAATCACGGTGGATAATAATAAATTTTCAATCAACTTGATTAAGGATTAACGAATCCAAATAAAGTCAAATGGTCAAAGGAAATCCGCGAATATCTTTGATATAATGGTCAAAGAAAATCACAGCAGATAGAGGAACTTACCGGGTTAGGGCACACAGTCCAAGGCAGCTAGAGATTCTCAGAAAGCTCGAGTTATGGGATAGGTAAGATATCAGGTTCTTTTATATCTATATAAATATATATATATAGATATATCGGAGATATCTAGTATCCACCAATCAATAAATTAAGATATCATATCATTCAATTTGATAATTTATATGATATAATTTAATATTATATAAATCTTTATCATATATGATATATCCACAATGTTGGATGATCGGATTGAAAATCTATTTAATCTATAAATATGATGATAATTTAGACGTATTAAAGTAAGTTATACACATCACGGATATGAAATCTGACTGCGTCTCTACAAAGAAGTTAAAAATATATGTGCACACACACACATGTAATCATTTAAATCACACATTATTATCACCAAGAAAAAGAATAAATCACTTACACCCATTGTTCGTGGGTTCAGCTGGCAAAAGGGTGAGACATATGACCAAGTTGGCATGTGTTCGATCCCTGGGGAGTACCACTTTGTTGTGGTTTCAGTCGCGGCGCTTGGGGAGGCATCTTAGCTCCTGGGTGCCTAGGTAAACGCCTGAGGGTAATTGACGGTTCGCCCTGCCCAACATTGGTATGACCTAGGAGGAAGGGAGATTTTGCCTTGCCCTTGGATCGTGGGTGAGCCCAACCCCTTTCCAAAAATTTTATTATCAAAAAAAAAAAGAATAAATCACTTACTATTGATCTTAGAGTAAAATACTCTAATTACCCCTCTATTTTACTTAAATTACTGAAAATTTTCTTTATTTTGAAAATATATGTAAATTTCACCTGATATTAAAATACACGTTACACAAACTTCTCTTATATACTTGAAATTTAAATTTCAAAATAACAATGTATATTGAAAAAATTAATTATTCGGATGTCACCAAAAAATTAATTATTTGGAACTAAATGAATGTTAATTAGTGTGTTAGAGGACTAAAAAGATATATTTTTTTTAAAATAAAGAGACCAAATAATAAAATTAGATGATCAAAGGCATGCTTTTAGGTTTTAGCTAATATACAACATCAAAGATTCAAGGTATGATCGGAAAAAAAAAAAACTGATATTCAAGGATTAAGTGTCAAAACATATGACAACAATATATAAATGGAACAACGAAGACCCTACTACTTGCTTCTAATTCTTAGACAAAACCTCTCCTTATCAGAGTATTAATAATGACTTATCCTCGATCGATCACATGACTGGAATATAACAATGGACCAATTTTTCATACGAGGAACCAAGACTTGAAATAGAAATCTACAATCCTCACATCCTCTGGCCAACGAGTATAACTTTTTGAGCATCATTGAGGAGTTCACGCTTGCACGACAAGTAACAGAGATCGCCCTCAAAGCTTTTGCATGCTCCATAATAAATCTTACAACTTCATACTCACATCCCAATCCTTTGAATTGATCAACACAGAACTTCTTTAACGTAACGAGAAATGACGAGGAAGGATTATTTGATGAGACCAAATAATGTTCAAGACTATAAATGCCAATTGTCTTCTGATTGTAATAATATAGAGCAAATGAACTTAGTTTCAATTCCTCAAGAAGTGGGCACCCAGCAAGAAGCATTACCAAACATCTAAATTCTAGAAACATAACACTTTCCAAATGCAAAACCTTAAGGGAGGGCAAATTCACAGAAGAAAGAGTGTCCACTTTTACATCTTTCAATCTTAAAACCTTCAATGTACTGGAATTGAAAATGCTGGAGGCCAACCTAATACTAGACCAAGATGTAAAACAAAGCTCAAGTTCATCAACTTGGAGCTCATTGAGCTTATTAATCACTTCTTTAACCCAACTTATAATCTTATCAGGTCGAGTGCCAAACTTTATTCCACTACCTTTGAGACGAAAGATCTGGATGTGGTTGAAATTGGGGAAGAATTTTAACGCACATTCCACAAACTGGAAGAAAGATTCAGAAGAACGAAAGCTTGAATCATCGAAGTGAAGAATGGGCAATCCAATCCACAGTGACATCCACCTCTTGGACAGGAGGCTAGTGGCAATGGCGTCTTTGGTTGGAAGAAAAGAGAGAATATGTCGAAGCAAATCATCTGACAAGTTGCTAAGTCTGTCGCTTAGTCTTATTTCGCTTCCTCTTTCATGGCGTTCCGGAACTGAGTTTGCCATAACCCTAGCTTGGTGATATAATCAAACGAAAGAGGATTGAAATTAGCTTCTGAGGGAAGAAAACAGATGCAAATTTTCATAAATATGAAATATTGTCTCTTTATTCTGTGTGATCAAATAAAAAATCATTAGATATCGTAATCAAGGGTCAAAATCATCAGATTTGGTGCTAATTTAACGCGTGATAATAACCGTGCTCATATTTCGTATCAACCATATATTTTATACTAAATATGGATGGTACGGATAGAAATTTAAATAATATGTTTACCATCAATTTTAAAAATAATTATAATTTTAGCTAAAATTCAAAAATTGAAAAAAAAAATAGAAAAAAAAATGCTACGCTTTTTAGATCAGAAAAAACAGAGTAAACCTTAAAAGAATAAGCAAATTACTTATGAAAGTTTAAAGGTGAAAAATTATATATTGTCCAGAGGGTTTCAAATAACAAATAAACATAGGGTGCCATTATTCCAACTTTCTTTCTTTAACTAGAAAACTCTCCCGTGCATTGCACGGGTTGTGAATTATGAATAATTTTGTCATAACAATGTACACAAAATTTGAGCATAGATATTTTGACATAAAATTAATGAAAATAATTTTTTAAAACATTAAAAAGGATATATATATATATATATATATATAAGAGTAATCTGAAAGTACCAACAAAATTAACAAAAAAGAACAACAAAAATCATTTTTTACCTTATAAAGTAATACATTTGAAGATGTAAAGAAACATTTAATCACCAATAAGCTTCACATGATGTTTTGAAATATTTCTCTGTAGACCACATTAGTCGTCTTGTTTGTTGGGTTTTTGTCTGAATCAAGAATTAAAATCTTGATGCCATCCATAGACTTAACCCTTGACAGCACAACATATAATTGACCATGTGTGAAGACAAGTCTACGTAGGTATAAACCAACATTAGTCATCGATTGTCCCTGACTTTTGTTGATCGTCATGGCAAATGATAATATGATAGGAAACTGCCTTCTTGGCATCATGAATGGTAGTCTAGATTCTGAAGGATTCATATCCATTCGATGGATCAAAACTTCTTGACCTGTGCTTGTACCATTAAGAGCTATTGCTTTAATAAAGTGTTTACCAAGAAATGTGTTCTTTAGTCTTGTGCCATTACAGAGTCCTGCAGCTTGATCTATGTTTCTCACCAGCATTATGGGAACTCCAACTTTCACTGCAAGTCTATGTGGAGGCAAGCCAGAGCATTTTATTGTGTTCAAGAATTCGATGGTATACAACTCTTGAAATGATGCACAACCTTGATCAGCTATACTCACAGAATCAGAGCTAAAATATACAATAGGCTTGCCAGGCAGTAAGGAGCACATATAGTCATTAATTTGGTCAACCACTTCAACTGTTGGTGTCAAAATATCCCTATTAGTGAGATATTCAGAATCAACTAAATGATGTAAAAGATAAGGATATGTGGCTTCGACAATCGACTGTAGAGGATCATGACAGTCCATAATTAAAAAATCATCAGGGACTTCTATCTCTGCCATTCCATCATAAGGTAAACCGATGCGACCATCACCAATATCCAAAAGCCAGTCAGAAAATAATTTCAATTTTGAATTATCTGTGGATGAACTCGAAGATAATCGCATATTCTTGGTAAGTTGGAATAACTTGCAATGACTCCATAGATAAGAAGAGTTTATGGTTGAGTTGACAATGCAACACCTCACTTTTATATACTAATAGGATCATTTTTAACGCCTGTGAATCACTAACACCAGGTTTCCATCCTGGGAAAAGACAGGGAAATTTTTTTTTTTTATATATATATATACACTAACGAGTGATTCACACACTTAAACCCTACTTCTGAAGCACGTATAACAGGCACACAGATTTAAAATATTACTACTATTGTATAAGTACTACCCTGGTCATTCAGGAAAATGACCCTTACCTGAGTACTGAAAGTACACACTCCCTTAAAGGAGGATACAAAATAGTATAATTACTAGTAAGTGGGGGTTACTTGCTCTTAAACATCTAATAAGTCAGATAATTAAATATCAAAATAATTATTCTGTAGGTACAAAAGCAGCAGGCATTCCTGCTCTTCATACAAGCCCACCTTCAGCACTTATGACCTCCTTACTCTTGGAATTGCTTGCTCTAGCTGTATAATATAGGAAGGGAGGGTGAGATTCGAACGAATCCCCGTAGTAGTAATTTCCATCAAACAAATGTGCAGATCACATAAAACATGCAAAACAAGCCATATGGAACATAACCTTGCAAGCTAATGCAATTAAGCATTTATGCGCAATGACAGATAGACAAGCTGAATAAATAATGCGCAAATAATTGGCAATCACTGCCGCGCAAATAATTGGCAATCACTGCCCCATGTCTGTTAGACAAGCTGAATAAATAAAGCGCAAATAATTGGCAATCACTGCCCCATGTCTATCAGCTGCACGTGATCACGGCTAAATAATCCATGCAAGGAATTAAGGATTACATGTTCTCATGCTTTTTGAATAGCAATATGGCACAAACAGACATGCAGCAATCATACACAAGTGTAAGGGAGGAAAGAACTACTACCTGAACCTTCTGCTTCAAAATCAAACCTTACTTGTTTCCTTTCTCTTAGCTTCTTCGGTAGGCTTTTGCAGATATCAAAACCTATTATATTAGTAAGGGTAGGTTAATGCTTGATCCAACATAATTTATAAATTAAATAACTCTCTTTAAATCCCAATCTCTTTCAATCTCTACCCTTACTTAATAGTTGGTCATTCTGGACAATTTTTCTTATTTAAACTTTTCTCTTTGGAGAGTTTCCTTCCTTATCTCAACCCAAACAATTACTTTACCCAGTAACTGGTCATCTTGGTCAAAAGCACTATTTCTATTTATTATAATTTAAGGATAACATCGTATCCCCTTTTCCAAATCTGGCTCCACTTTTATTAAGTGGTTGGTCATTATGGAAAAACTAAAGATATATAAATATATATGTATATATATTACAATGTCCACAATTCCGCTTACAATCCCTATCTATTCATAGCTCAATCACATACACATTGCATATATTCTCCCATAGCCTCATAATCCTCTTATACAAACTTTAATCCTTGCCAACCTATCCTCTAATTATTTAAAATTCCTATCCATTGGTTGGTAACCTCAAGCACATTTCAACAATAAAATTTAAATCAACTCCTCTGCCTTTCATAATCTAGAAATTATTCCTAACTTCAAGACATCTCTAATCTAAAATACTATCTATGACCTTTGAACCCTCCATCAAAGGCTTCTTTCTTAAACTTTCAGATTTTCCATTTCATTTATATCCAGTATTCAAAACTCAAGTTCATTGCATTCCAAGCCTCACACGTTTCTTTCCTTCCCTCAAGACAGTAATTAACTTAATTTCAATAATAGCGTACCCTCAAGGATGTTAGGCAACCAAAACATTAAATTCCTAAACTTACATCCCAGCCTCAAACAAAATTTATTTAGCTAGGTTAATACTACTTAACGCAAAGAAGCATCCTTACACTTATTAAATACTAAACCTTCATTTATTTGCTTCCAAGTAACTCTTAATCTTTTCTTTAATTTCGAGTCATAGCCATTGCTTCCCACGGCCCTTATATAAGAAATATATATATCCAGTGCAAAATCCTATATAAGTCATATATCGCTACATATACTGAAACTATACACATATACATATATATCAGTTCGTTCTCCTCTCCAAATCGGTCATCATCTAACCAGTGACCATTTCCCTTAGTTCCATGAATTCGAGTCCCATGACAGCAACAAAGCACGCACACACATTACACACACACACACACACACATTACACACACACACACACACACAAGCTTCGGTTCTTCCTCATATATATATATACACTCCAAAATCTCTATAACCAGTAACAAAGTCCCATCAGCAAACTAACGTAAACAACATGCAAGCACCGAATACACTCCCCTGTCTCGGATTCAAAAAAAAAAACAGAGCAACCCGTCACACACAAACTCCTTCTGGATCCTGCGGCACATGCATATATTTATATATATATATGTTTCGTGCTATGTCAGTTCGGCCAGCAAGAAAACAGAAGGAAGAAATAAACTTACAGCCTCAAGATCAACTCCTCTCACTAAGTAAATAAGGAACCGAAATTCATTCTTACAGAAACCATGACGCCCCCCCTGTTCTGCCAAATTAGAGCACAGCAAGAAATCTCACATGCATGCTTAAAAACCAACATCAAACACTTCAATCTACCCATAGAATCCGAATCCATCGGTCCTCTTATCCTTTCCATCACTTTCTCTCACTACCCTTCTGTCTCTCTCTCCTCAAACACGCCATAACCACTCAGATAACAGGAAAGAAAATGGTGGGAGGTTGATCAGGATGCTCACCTTGACAGTTTAACCGGTTTGCATGCAAGTGTAGCTCCTCAGATCACCACCTCCGGCACTACTCCTTCTCCGTTCTCTCTCTCGGTCTGTCTCTATTTCTCTCGTTCTCTCCCTCTACGTTGCAGAACCGAATGAAATAAAGATGCCACGGTGAGCTGAGTGTTAATGAAGAAGATGGCACGTGTAGTGTCTGACTTAATGGACCATTTTTCCCTCCAAAATAATTATTTCTCCAATCTTATCCCTTTCCTATTTTTCTGAAATATAAGATATATCCAGAAATTAAACCAAAATATCCTGAATGGATTTTTCTTATCCATCACAACTGGTTATCCTAAAATTCTCAGATTAAATATAAATCTCTAAGTATTTTTTTTCCATAATTTCCAAAGAAAATAAACCATTCTTCTCTTAAAATTATCTATTAAAATTATTTAAGCCATTTTTGGGGAAATACCTTTTCCAAAATGTCTCTAAACCCTAAAAATCATTATTCCATAATTTTCCCCCTTTATTTGGCAAATAAATAATTTTAATAAATTTTTCTCTTTTCTACTCATCCTAAATCATAAAATTCAGGGTGTTACAGACAACATCTACACGACTACCTTTTGGGATGACAGGCAATATTTGTCTGAAATCTCCTCCCATGACAATACATTTGCCTCCAAAGGGATGATTACACTTCATTATATCTCTGAATGTCCTATCAATAGCTTATGCACAAAAACGTTTCACCATTGGGGCTTCATCCCAAATAATCAATTTGGCACACCTGATAAGCTCACTCAGTGGTGAACTTTGGGATATGTTGCGCATGGAATCTTCATTAATATCAATTGGAATTGCAAATCTTGAATGTGCAGTTCTGCCTGAAGGTAGTAAAGTTGCAGCTATTCCACTTGAAGCCACATTAATCACTACTCCTCCTCGTGCCCTAATCGATGCTGTTAGTGCATTCCATACGAAAGTTTTTCCAGTCCCTCCAAAACCATACACAAAGAAGAACCCATCAGTAGGATGGTTTGTTGCTTTCATTACTTGGTTGAATATGTTCTTCTGCTCATCTGTTAGTGATTCTAGCAACCTAATCGCTTCTCTCTGACATGTTTCTCTGTCAAAATTTAATTCTTGCAATATAAAATGATTTCTGGTATCAAAATACTCAGTAGCTGTTGCAAGTGGCATTAATGGGTAATCATGAAGAGATTTTCCATTCATTTGCAGTAGCTTTTCTATCTCAATTAAGCCTGCTTCATGCTTGTCATCATCACTAATATTTAAATCTATTTTATTGGAACAACAATAATGTTATAAATCATAAAAAGACAAAGCAAACACTATATGCATGTCAATTGCATAAAAAGTAAGTGCATAGTTGAATTTATCTTGACATTGTGGATTATTTTGTGGACATACAACATGTCTTCACATAAGAGATTTTTAGTCTGCTCCCACACGATGTGTGGTTGTGATATACAATGACTTAGCAGCATTGACACAAAGAATCTTCTAAGATAACATCCCGTAGCCCACAATGATGCCTCTTTTATTGCATCAATGAATTCCTGATCATCGTCAATCAATCTGAGGGCATAGCAAGCAGACCTAAAAGTTGGGTAAACAACATTATCTACAGTTCTTATCTATTCATAATTGCTAGGTCCCTTCACTTTTGTTAATAGTATTCTAAGATAATATATTTCGCCTTGAGCGGGTGATGCATGTGCCAATCGTCCAACAACAAAGCCCCTTTCTCTAAGCTTCCAAATGCTCTTTTGCTTATTAAATGTATAATAATGGGGAAACTCAGTATATGTTAATTTCCTTGCAAATGTATCTTCTAGATTCTGCTCCATCCATGCAAGAAATATTGATTCTTTAACTCTCGGTTTGTGAACCAATGAGTTAACCGAATCTTTACTTGTATAAAACTGCTTGCTGATCTAGTAAATGAAAACTCAACCTGCAACACCTAACTTTTATATATACTAATAGATCATTTTAACGTCAGTGAAATCACTAATGTCAGGTTTTCGACCTGGGAAAAGACAGGGATTTTTTTTTTTATATACTGACGAGTGATTCACACACTTGAACCCTACTTCTGAAGCATGTACAACAGGCACACAAATGTAAAATAATACTACTACTATATAAGTTACTACCCCGGTCATTCAGGACAATGACCCTTACCTGAGCACTAGAAGTACACACTCCTTTAAGAAGGATACAAAATAGCATAATTACTAGTATGTGGGGGTTACTGGCACTTAATCATCTAATAAGTTAGATAATTAAATATCAAAATAATTATTCTATAGGTACAAAAGCAGCAGGCATTCCTGCTCTTCATACAAGCCCACCTTCAGCTCTTATAATTTCTTTACCCTTGGTACTTCTTGCCCTAGCTGTATAATATAGGAAAGAAGGGTGAGATTCGAACGAATCCCCGTAGTAGTAATTTCCATCAAACAAATGTGCAGATCACATAAAGCATGCAAAAACAAGCCATATGGAACAAAACTTTGCAAGCTAATGCAATTAAGCATTTATGCGCAATGACAGATAGACAAGCTGAATAAATAATACGCAAATAATTGGCAATCACTGCCCCATGTCTATCAGCTACACGTGATCACGGCTAAATAATCCATGCAAGGAATTAAGGATTACATGTTCTCATGCTTTTTGAATAGCAATATGGCACAAACAGACATGCAGCAATCATACACAAGTGTAAGGGAGGAAAGAACTACTACCTGAACCTTCTGCTTCAAAATCAAACCTTACTTGTTTCCTTTCTCTTAGCTTCTTCGGTGGGCTTTTGCAGATATCAAAACCTATTATATTAGTAAGGGTTGGTTAATACTTGATCCAACTATAATTCATAAATTAAATAGCTCACTTATCGTCCTAGATCTTCTTCAATCTCTACCCTTACTTAGTACTTGGTCATTCTGGACAATTTTTCTTATTTAAACTATTATCTTTGGAAGGCTTCCTTCCTTATCTCAACCCATACAATTACTTGACCCAGTTGCTAGCCATCTTGACCAAAAATATTATATATACACAAATAATCACACCAATTGATTTCACTTCATTTTTCCAAAATAATTCTATGAGCTCTGTTAGCTTCTATTAACAATTAACATAATACTTATCATTTAAATCCAAGCTAAGCAATTTCAATCTCCAACCATCTATTAGACTTCTTAATCTTTGGTCTAACATTCCTCCAACAACCTTTCTAATAGCTTCTATCAATGACCAATTTTAACCCATACCTTAGCCACTAACTGTACCATTGAGAATTTTCCAAATACAAACCTTTAAATAATTTCCAAACATCATAACTATTAACTTATCCATTTAAAATCTCCATCCACCACTAGCAAACCTCAAGCAATAATTTTCAAATCAATTTCCTAGTTTAAATTCTTTGATCCCCAAAACAGCTGCAACTTTAATTCTAATCTTAATCATTAAGTCTCTAAAACTTCCCACTGTTTTCATTCTATAACTACTAGTCCATTTCTTTAAACAATTATATCAATTCCTTAAAATTAAAACTCACGGCTCATATATATAAAATATATCCAATGGAAATTCCATTTTTAATAATTAAACCTTCACTATCAAAGAATCCTTTTCAATATCACATCAATAACTTCTTTGGTCCTACCTCATTTTCCTTCTTCAACAATTTAGTTCACTTGACTCATTTCCAGCAACTATACACATAATTAGTCGCTTATATATATATATACACACACAGTAATTCGTGGTGCTAAAACCCATGATTACATAAATCAAGAACTAGAAGCCCGACCATATTTAATGCAAACTCCTTATTTCATTTTTTTTTTCACCCCATTCGGCCAGCTTTGACAGCAACGCGCAAACACACACACACACACACACACACACACACCTTTGATTCTCCCTTGCACACAAAAAGGTCAATCAACAATTCCTACTAAAATTCTTCTAACAGCACGGTCAACACCGGATAGATGAGTAGGCCTTATTCGACTTATGCATATACATCTACATATTTATCTCCAAAAGTCATCAGATAACAGAACCCAAAGAACATGTAATAGCATTCACATACATTTATATATCCCCAACCTTGCTTTTCCATTGAACCCGATGGCTTACTCACCAAAGCAAGGAGTCATGACTTCGAAACTTTGTATGCGATGAAGTTAGACAACATGCAATCCGAGAAAGCACATACAGGCCTCATTCCTTTATCATTTCACACCCCAAAACCAGACATTCATTTAAATCATTAGCCCCTGTTTCGGTCAACAAAAACAGATCAATTTTCCATACATTCAACAGTAAAAACTTCACGTTAAACCAGTGGCTGACACCCCAAAACCGACATGCAATGGCAAATCACATTATTTCCCTTCTTTTCCATTAAAACCCGACGTCCAAGGCTTCAAAACTTAACCCCTGTTTCAGTAATCATAAACAGAGACGAAGAGGGAAACCTTCAGACCGAAAGACGCGCATGAAATTTTCAGTCTGACATGTGGTCTTCAAACCAACATACAAGACTTAAACTCACTTACACAAGCTTTAATCTGCTTGTTCCATCGTTATTTCATTTGTTTTCCCCCATTTCTTCATAACCCAGAAATTTCATTTTCCCATCAACTCTTCAATCTCACAGAGAATGGAGAAAAGAAGGGTAGGAGGGTGTTCAGAATGCTCACCTTAGCCGAAAATTACAATTGCATGTAAGCTTCACCACATCCGGTCACTCCTCTAGCTTCGACGATCTCTGGCTCTCTCCCTCTCTCGCTCGCGCTCTCACTCTGATTCTCTATAGAAACCGAAACGAATGAAGAAGTGGGTGAGTGTCTGATGGTTAAAAGGGCAGGGTACACGTATGAGGTGAGAGATATTCTTGGACCAAATTGCCCCTCTAACCATTCTTACTTCCAATTTCATCCTCTCACTAAATTTCTGAAATCATAGAATAAATCCAAAAATTTTCCCTGATGTTTTGTTTGGATTTTCCTTCTCCATTATCTTCTTTGACCCATAAAATAATTTCTCTAAAAATTTCGGGTCAAAAGTCAATTCCTAACTGTTTTTCTAGAATTTTCAAGAAAATAGTTCTTAATTTCAGAAATTAATCCTTAACCCATTTTAAGGATTTTATGCCTCAACTATCTTCTTTACTATCTCAAATGATCATCCTAAAATTTTCAGATTAAATATATATCTCTAACTATTTTTCCATAATTTTCAAAGAAAATAAACTATTTTTCTCTTAAAATTATCTATTAAAATTATTTAAGCCATTTTTGGGGAAATACCTTTTCCAAAATGTCTCTAAACCCTAAAAATCAATATTCCATGATTTTTCCTAATTGTGATTGAGCTATTAAATAATTTTAATAAACTTTCTCTTTTCTACTCATCCTGAGTCAGAAAATTCGGGGTGTTACACAACCGCTCAACAGAAGGGTATCTATGATGGATATCAAATGAAAAAATACGCCATGCACTTTCACAAGAAGAAACATATCTGCAATTCAAGTAATGAGAGATCTCATCAAAACCATTGTCTCCATTATTTGACTGATCATTGTTGTAGATGCTAGCAATGACTCGATCACTTCCTTTGCTGACATACTTGAACAAATATTTTATGGCACTTGATTGGTTTGTTTTCTCAACATTAAGGTGAGCATGGAATAGTCTTAACAAAGTCGCATTATAAGAAACGACATATCTATTATCTAGTGGTACACCCTTCTTATCGATGCTCCTACCATCATTCCTTCTCCTATATGTAGGGTAACCCTCTTCATCTACTGTGGTATGATTGACAAATTTCTTGGGAAAGTACTTGGAACATTTTCCATCTTTCATGCAAGGAGATTTCTTATTGGAAGGGCCACACGGTCCATGAATCATTGGAGTTACTGACAAGATCATATAGCATTGGATCTCTCTCTTTGTCTGGTATTTCTGCACAAATAATTCTATCCACATCATCAGGAGTGGTTGGTTTGTCTGAAGGATCCAAAAATAGAATAATGTGAGCATGTGGTAGATCCCTCTTCTGAAACTCAATTGTATAAATTTCTACAATAGTGAAAAAAATATTATTTAATGTTATGATTTCTTCTATACCATCATAATAACATGCCCATTTAATCCCAAAATGAATCCAAAATGAATGCACTTTA